TATATATATATAATATTTTAAATCAATATTTAAGTTTTTAGTCAATTTATAAATTTTTCACTGAGTTTATAAACTAATTCTACTGAATATTATTAATAAATATATAGTAGTATTTAACAAAATTATTACAGTAAAATAAATAAAAGCAATCCATCGTTTAACACTTAAAGTTTATCAAGATCTTTTTCATTAATTAAGAGTTAAATATTTATTTAAAAAAAAAACTCTCTTAAGTTAGAAGCTAATTTGAACGGAATTCTTTATGTTAATTTTGGAATATAGATATTTAATGATAGATAAAATTGGATAAAATCTAACAAAACAAGAAGGAATAGAATAAAATAAAGTTATTGATTCTTTATTTAAATATCAAGATGAGTAAAATTTGATTCATTTCAAGGAAACGACTTGGTTTGATGTTGATTTTGACAAGTTTAAATTTCAAAATTAAATTAATGTACTTTTTTTTATAATGGATTCAAACTATATTTTGAGTTATTTTAACTCAATTTAATGTAAATTTAGATCCTCTCTTACAATTTTCTCTCTCTAGCCTCTCTCCTACAACATTAATAGCCATTAGATATATCTAATGGCTCAAATTTAATCATTTAAGAAGTTACATTAATTATAAGATTAAATTTGAGTCATTAGATATATCTCATGGTTATTAATGTTGCAGGAGAGAGGCTGGAGAGAGAAAATTGCAGGAAAGGATCTAAATTTATTTAATGTCATGCATTTTAAAAAAAAATATTTTTTTTTTGAATAGTTGTACACTAATAAGAATTTAATCTAATAGATAATATTTTTATATAACATGATATTACTTATTTTAAAATATACTTAAATTTAATTTTTTTATTTTTTATTTTACAATTTAATTATACAATGTTATATGTTATTAAAACATTAAATTGACTCAATCTTTCCTTATTTATTTTAAGTCTTACCCATTTAATTCGATTCAAATAAATGTAGTCAAAATTTTGTGATTGGTTGAAGATAAAGATAAAATTTATTTTAACCCATCCTTTACTCATTCTCAATTATGGAGGACAGGAAAAACAATAAAAGATTAACCTGTTCACTTTGTTTACTTAGTATTAATAACCGTTCTTGTTTCAAGTTTAGTTTTTTTTTAGTTTCTACACAAACATACAAGTTTCGATCTTTGTTTTTCCTTCTTTTTGCTTTTAGTATAACTTAGCGTTAATAATCATTCTTGTTTTAAGTTTAGTTGCTTTTAGTTTCTACAAAAACATACAAGTTTTGATCTTTTTCTTTTTTGCTTCTAGTATAACAAAGTGGTATAATTTTCTCTCTTCATCTCAATTTATTTAGGAGTAAAACAATACTTCTAATTATAATTTCACACTCAAATAAAAAATCAAAGCTTATTTTTTAATTAAAAAACACAAATGATGTACTGTTTATTCTAAAAATAAAGTCTCAAAACTCTTCGTAAATTGCTATGAAAAAGTCTTTGAAGATTGCTCTATAAAAGCTTTGATTGCAGTTACAAACAAATTTCATATCGATAAAATAAGAGAAAAAATAACAACTTATAAAACACATGCATACTCCAATACTAGAGGGGCCTTTTAGGTAATAACTAAAAGTAAAATCTTGAAGGCTTAGATTCAAAATAGACAATATTTTATTATTATAAAATTGTGTATAATAATCCTCGTAAAATATTTCGTCAGACAAATACTATAAAATAACTTCACCACTAAAGAGGACTCAAATTCTATTTTAAACAATTAAATGAAACAAAACTGAACAGCATTCCTTTTGATGGATCAATTAAAATGCAACTGACTTGTGCTTCACTAACCGTGCAAGTTTTGGGAATCCACTGGTGACGCACACTGTACAACTTTAATGTTTATTCTTTATTTAGACAGACAGACGTGTAGTCTTCTTCTCGATGTGGAACTACCCAATCCCATCTCCCAGAATAAACCATCTCAAACTCGTATAAATACACCTCCACGTAGCAAATCAAACCAAACCAAACCAAACCAAATTCTCCAATTCACTTAAATCACACACATACTTTTCATTAGTCCCTCTAGTAAGTAGTAACCCTCAAATCCCAATCACACCAACCATAGCAATGGATGTGTTAACAACATTAACTGCTGAGAAGCCAGTGGTGATCTTCAGCAAGAGCACTTGCTGCATGAGCCACACTGTGAAGGCTCTCATATGGAGCTTTGGTGCCAACGTTTCAGTTATTGAGCTTGACAAAATGCCAAGTGGCCAGCAAGTAGAGAGGGCCCTTGTTCAGCTAGGGTGCCACCCCAGTGTACCTGCAGTGTTCATAGGACAACAATTCATAGGTGGTGCTGATGAGATCATAAAACTCAACGTTCAGAACAAGCTTGCTCAATTGCTTCTCAGGGCCAAAGCTATTTTTATCTGAAGTAGGTAGCTATTTATGCATAGTTGCAAACGTGTCATCAAATAAGAGGTTCTGTGTTCTAGTTTTCTCAGGGCCATGAGATGAGAACTGTGTGAGGCAGTTTAGTATAGAGCTTCTTCTAGCCATGCTTGTTCGTGTATTGTTCTTCATTTTTCTTTGTCTTTTTTTTGGAGCAGAACAGCACCCTTTCTTTTGTATAATGCAAACCAGGACTTTAACCATACGTGTAATGTTCACTTATTAATAATCCCATTTTGAGTTCTTTCGACAGATGTTTCTTAAGTGAGTTTGTAAGCAAAAAAAAATAAAAAATTGGTTGTACTATATCAAATTCAGAGATGCTATTTGTGCAATATGGAAGAGATGTATAATCAATAGATAAAATAAAAAATATTTTTTAATTAAAAAAACTTTCAAAAATATTTATAAGTTTGTATTTAAACACACTCTAATATACAAATAACACTAATCAAGTAATAATGATGTACAGACAATCATTTTGTGTTACTTATTATACTTATATTTCTCTCTCAGTGTCGATACAAATAGCATGAGATGTACATACATCCTTGCTCAAGGAATCAACACTTCTCAAAGAAAATTTAACATTTTCGCCATCAATCACAAACTTCAACATTACCATATAGACTAAGGTTGTAAAATTTTACGTTTGTTAGATTCAAGTGTACAGAGATTGTATACAGGTTTTAAGTGTGAACCTGTGAATACAGAGCAGTGTACTATTGGCTGGGTTACATGAATTTAGAAAATAAACATGTTCTCACTCTTTTTTATGGTGCACTGAAATTAAACCACAACTTAATTTAACGAGTTCTATTGGTATAACATTTTCTCACTGAATCAACTCAGTTTAGGAGTACAGTAATATCTCTTGTTGTCAAAAACGGTCCATTTTAAATGCATGTGTTTTTATTATATAACAAGCTATCATTCCAACAAAAGTATTTTTATTTACACATTTGTCATTTAGCTAAATTAATAAAATATGAAATTATAAATATAAATGAATAATTAAAATTAAATCTTAGAGAAAAAAAAATTTAGTCTGCTGTGTCTATGTGCCCTAATGTAGACAATGGTAATCAATTAATCAAAGATTATTAAAATATTATATTTGTGCTTAATTTTTTTCCAATCAGAAACTTCATCATCAAGAGTTCTTAAATCTGGATAGTTTTAACTAAGTTACCAAAATCTTGTACAGTTTATGCGAACCACTCTTTGCAGTGCATCAAAACGATATAAAGTAACCCAAATAGGAAGGAAATTAAACAACAAATTCTACGCAAATATGTTGTAAAGGAAGCAATATAGCCACAGCTTTTTTGACATACATATTCCAGCTTTATACATAGGATATCCTTAAAATATGAGAGACAGGGTGAGGGGTAAAAAATAAAATATGCATATGTCAATTCTGAAGCAGAAGCTGTTGTCGAGGAATCCATAGTCCCCACTGCGATGCCAGGAACTGGCCTTGCACTAGTTTTTGTGTTCTATACTAGTTCTCCAAACGCATATGCTAAGGTCCTTTTTATATTTGTTTTACACGGGTTGGTATATGCCACAAATAATTGAGCTTCAAAAAATTATGCCAGAGACAGTATCTACTTGTTTATATTTAGAATATAACCTTGTTTTGGTAAAGAAAATGTATATCGTTTATTAATTTAATCACCCTTATAAAAATCTATTTTTTTCACCCCTCTATTTAGTATAATGTTATTAACTTTAATGATGGTTCGTGAATCGTGATAGACATCTTTTGAACAAGCCCATATGACACGCAATCTAGACAACAAAAAGACAAACTCTCTTCGTATAAAAGAAAATTGTTAAACAAAGGTGTGTCAAATAGTATGTTCTAGTATTTTTCTGTACGTTAATAGATCACTGTATTTGTTTGGATAACCAATTCATATAACACGAGAGTTACTTAAGAAAAACCACCATGTTGGGGTTCAAAAGAAGTGTTCACTTTGCCTAATACTTCTCCATGTCAAACAGTGTTTATTTCTTTATCTGACAAAACAACCGAAAGCTTGACGCATGTTTAAAAAGTGGGCTAGAGAAAATCCATATGAAAAACAAGATAACACAAGATAATAGATTTTCTTCAAAAGCTCGACCTCTTTAAGCAATTTTAGTGCACTTTTGACGTGTTTTATGACGTCGTTTCTTATCAGAGGGTTGACTGCAAACCCAAGTGGAACTTCTTTCCAGTCAAATACCAAACACAAAAACAAAGCCTTACGTAACCCTGACACTCAAATTTTGATATAATGGCCCAAGTAAACTCAAATCATGTTTAAGACCTACCAATTATTGACGCATACCTCATTTTGTGCAAAAGGTTTGTACCAACCATGTGTTCCGATAAATGTTGAGAAAAAGAGGGGGGTCTTTTGTTAAAAAGAATACAGAGAAAAGCATACACAAACAAACAAAACTTTCTCTACTCTCCTTTTCTTTCATCTTATCCTTAATAATAGTAAATGCAATTGAGAAGCTGGGCAAATATGCGATCCTTTAAAACCGACAAATGGATTTGTTAAAAATAAAAATAAAGGGATATTGTGACTTAGCTTTTTTATTTATTTCTCTTTGATGGGGCAATTATTCAAGCATTATTTGTTTTTCCAGAACTAAAGTACCTCAGAATATACAGATTTTACTCCATAGGAGGAGATTACGTAAAAATGACAATGCTGACACAGAACAAGAACAAATAGTCAAAAAGCAAGATTAATTATTTTAATTGTAAGATCTAACATCAATTAATAATAGGTTAAATTACTTTTTGGATCTCTCAATTTATTTAATTTATTCAATTTAATCCTTTTATTATTAAATTTTCAATCTTATCTATTAATTTTCTAAAACGATACAATGTAATTTTTAGTCCAATTTAGACTAAAAAGTAGAAACGTTAAATTTTTGTACACATTGGACATTTTATTAGTATGTCTCAATTAAATAAAAAGGAGCACATTACATCGTTCTATTTTAAAAAATTAATAATTTAAATTAGACTATTTAACAATTGAAGAACCAAATTATTGAGGTTAAATTACATAAAATAAGAAAGCAAAGGAGTAATTTAACCTTAATAATAAGGTATAAAAGTGGGTCACAACCCAACCCTCCCTCGTGTTATAAAGAATCCAAATTCTCATACTAATAGCCTACAGGTATGAATTATAATTACTAGCAATGTGTAACAACCCCAACAACAAAATACTGCAACTCAATTCCACACTCCAATGATCATAATCTTATGGTAAACATACCAAAGTTCAGATATTATTAAATCATGTTACTGAAACCTATCCTCAAGTAACCAGAATTTACAACATTGAACATCTGAATAAACAGTGACACATACATATGAACGAATAAGCACACCGAAGGAAAGTTGAACCTTGTGTAAAAATTTGGGTTCACTTATGAATGTAGTCTTTTAAAATGTGATTATTGTGTGGGAGGGTTGCATTGGTTACCCAATTGGTCACTGCTTTAGAAACCGTAGCATTAGCCTTACGAATCTCGTCCGCGGAAAACTTGTGCTCTATGATTCCCAAGGGTCCAGGCTGCAGCACCTTAATCACAGTTTCCATTTCTTGCTCAACTTGTCTGACACAAAATCAACAAATCCAACAAACCCTAATAATTTTCTTCAGATAAAATAAAAAATAAAAAATAAAAAAATAGCGCAAAGCAATCATGTTAATAGAGCGCGCGATGAATTGAAGAGAAAGAAGGTGGGTTGGTTACCTTATTAGCGCAGAAAAGGGCAATGAACTTCGAAACCCTGCCATAGAAAACCTCATCCTTCACTCTGCAACTCACGCAGGATTCAAATCCAACCCAATGTTTAGATGCACACTACGGCGTCGTATCATCTTTGCACAGACTGGGCCGGACACCTATTGGGCTTTGAACGCGTGCTACACGGGCCGGCCCTAGACATTCCCCTACTTATTTCTGTCCCTCTTCTTTTTTCAAACTATTATCTAAATAAGAGAAGAAAAACAATCCTCCTCGTAAGTCGTAACACATTTAGACAGTGTACGTGAGCGTGTTTCCTAACAGGGATTCAAAGTATGGTTCACCTTATCCACGTATATGGTGACAACTTCTATTCATATATACTTGCAAATAATTGACACACAAAATTCTCACATTTCCTAGTCATGTTAAGAGACTAATAATTTTTACCTAAGAAGTGATATAAAAACTTAGAGATGAAGATAACATTATTGCTAGTAAAAATGGTGTGGGAAATAATTATTACATTTTACATGTTTGTTCCTCAAGTCAATTATACCGGACAGTAAAATGATTTGTTTTTCCCGTCTCTTAATGAGTTATTGCATCTTGATGATTATGTTGTTGCATTGCTAGGCCATCACGGTTCTTTTGACTTCTGGGTGCTAATTAGTAGAGAAAATTTTGATGTCTCAGAAACAGTTCACTTCTCATAAAGTGTGTATAATTTATATACTAAAATTCTGATCCGAGGGTACTATTTTAACTGAGCATCCCATTTTGGAATATTAGAGCAGGGTAATAATGATAGTATTGTACTGAACAATGAACGTAGCAAGTCAGCAACATAACTCAAAAACCTGTTGACTGGAAAATAGACACAATCACGCCATGCATTATGCATACTGTACAAACATTATCATTACATATTTGAATGTAGTCATGAAACGGAGTGGCGTCTTCGCTTTGGAAAAGGGAAGCGAGTTTCTGAACCACCAATTGGTTTAATGCTATTTATCCTGAATAGAGCATTGAGCTTGCTCAGCTTTCTGGTGAATGATTTGAACAACTTGTTCGCAGGGTGAGACTTCACAAGCTCCTGCTTCATGGACACGTGGTCTTTCTCCAAGTCAGTGAGCCTCATTCTCATTCTTGCAACTTCAAGCTTCAGTTCTCGGTTCTCTCTTCTAACCGATGCATAGTTATCTCTAGGGGAAATGGCTCCACTCCCTGCACCACTCCCTGAACGTTGAGGGAACTGGCCAAAGAAGAGTTGGTTGTGCCCTCCATTCATGGCATTGCGAAGCCTCATTTGCTCGAAGTAAAGGACTTGAACTGCCATCTGCACTGGTAGCCTTTCATTCTGTGCTGCATGGCTGCATGCTTCTTGTGTCAGTTTCTGACAATCAATGGTTTTGCATAACCGGTACCTCTCTGAGTCCTTCATGTTTGGGTGAACCTATATCACAAGAAAACAAACAACACTTACACATCGGTGACTAGAAGTCTACTACCAACAATAATTATATACTCCATTTCAGACCTTTACAATAATTACATTAAATATCATACATATCGTGATTTTGATTAGTTGACGATGTAAAAAATTTTAGACTAACAGATTAAATTCCTTGACATGGAGTTAACCTTCCATTCAATTTTTACAATATTATCTTACCACAAATTGCCATGCATGGGAAATTTGTTGACTTTTTTAAAGTTCTAAAGCCATAGCAATAACTTCTGATTGGTTGACAGAGTGAAATCTTCTACATGATAGTACATAAAAATTAAAGTTTTCTTTGAAAACTTAAACATGATGGTAGAAATTTTCACCTTAAGGAAGATGTCAACAGCTCTATAGAGTCCATCACTAACGATACGTGCATGATCTGGAAGCAGTTCTGAAAGTGCTGTGAATTTTGAAGGCAACAAGTTTGGGTCTAGTGCTACTTCAGCGAGATAACTGTCAAGTAATTTGGATACCTTTATGATTGAGCTTTGTTTGGGAGATCCAGGACTGTCAAAATCATACATCATTTGGCTTTCATCAATGAAGTTGTCACTATCTTCGCCATCTTCCTCGTCCAAGTTTAGAAACATAGAAAAGATCCTCAGAATTGAGTCTGTGTCATACATTGTGTTGTGCGTGTTTTGAGGCGAGTTTGTTGGGATTAAGATGTCTTCAAGAATTGCTTGGTCAAGTTGCAGACCAATTCGCCTCTCCAAATCAGATCTGCAAGGAGTTGATGCAGATGTTGCTATTGCAGCTTTCAACAAACTTGAGAGGAATCCCATTGGAACGGGGCTTTTCCTTGACTGTGTTGGAAGCAAGCCAACTATGGTTTCAACAATCACCCTTTGTTTCTTTTGCAATTCCATGTCATGTATACTTCCTTTCACCACTTGGGGGTCTCTAACACCAACCCCCTGAAGAGAACCGTGTGCATAGTTCATCAAAATCTTGCTGATCATGTCTTGTTTTAGTCCCTTTGACTTCACAACAGACACAACTCGTTGGAAGAACTCAAGGCTAAGAACATTAAAAGACTTTCCCCACCAATCTGAGGGTGTTTCTGGTTCCATGGTTGGTATGGTCTTAGAAGGGAAAGTGTGAGTGTGATCGAGTTTTAGTAAACCAGATGTAAGTTGCTCCTTGCACGCGTTGTTTGCAATTGCATTGATTAGCTTGTTAACAAGGTTTATCTCTTCTGACATTGGAAGAAGAGCCTCACAACAGTGAAGAACGTGTACTGTGCTTGATATGTTAGGGAGCACTGTGTCCCTTAGATACGCTTCAGCTCTGGCCTCCAAGTTTTTATCTGCGAATTCTTCTGTCATCTCAAGAAAATGTGCTGCGCAACGCAGCAAAGCAACATTTGAGAGTGAGAACTCAACATTGATCCCATAGCAGAATTTGGCAGCTAGCTCAAATGCCTCTGCACCACCTGGCACATTTGGGAGACTTATGCGTAAAACTTTTGAATCTTTTGCTTCTAACAGCAGCTTCCGAATTCTTCCACTCCGAGAAACGAGAGGAAACTAGTTGAAAAATTGATACACTTTCAGTACACAGTGAAAATCTTTACGTTTTCTGTTTATCATGTCATGGTCAGTATGAACTTAAAGCATATCAGCCCCTAGCAAAAGCAAGGAGCATTATGTGCATGATTCTATTACCATTTACTAGCCATTAGTACTAGTGGACTAAGGATGGACATGAAATTCTCTTCATAGGTGCTAATGAGACATAGATTAATCAAAATATTAAACTATAAGATTGGTTACATATATTTGGCAGCAAAATAGAAATTAAAGTAACGATCAACTTATAAAATTGCCAAATATTCATAAACACCGATGAAAACCGTGCTGAATATTTAACCTATCAGAATGGAAGCTGGTTTCCTTTACCTTGTGAAGTGCGAAGGTTGATGCTCCAACTTCGATGGTAAGATCACTAGAGACATCGGATATTGGCCTGCAAAAAACAAATCTGGCTGAATTATTACATGACATAGGACATGGAAATTTCAACATAAACCAAAAACTGCAGCTGCAAGCATACATATTACCAAAACTAAATTATCAAGGACTATGAAATAACCTATACCAGCATGTGTTTGCAATTAAATATAACAATTGGAACCCAAGCCATGTGCTTTCTACAACCCAAAAGACAACTCAATCTTCCAATGTCAAGATCTTAGGTGAGAATGGCCCCAACTCAATTAATACAGAATTCAGGCAAGACTAAATAGGCACTACTTCAGACACAGCATGGTTACATGAGTTTCAAGTCAAAATGATATTTCAGGATTATTTGGTTGTGTCACTGAAGTGGAACCCATGTATGCAAATCATTGAACATCTAAGATAAGAAGGCGAAATCAAATTTGGAGCAATTTTAGTATGTCCAAGTTGATGTTAACGGCTGTCCTGATCTATGTGCAGCCAAAAGGTTTTCATTTTTTACATAGTCGGTGAGCTCCTATTACATCACCCCCTCACTCATTTAGGGCCTAAAGATAATAAAAGCACGAGAATAATTGACAGACAAACATTAATTGTCGTTCACATTGCTGACAGCAGATGAGATCTGAATATTCACCATGCAGAGCCATACCGCTGTCAGGTGGGTAAAACACTACATCAAGATCAATGTTACATCTTTATCTCCTAATCTCACCGTTTAACCCATATACCATGATATCCATGAAGTGTTGTTTTCTACCATAATTTTGGACAGGCTGTGATGTGACCATGTCAGATAAGAAATTTTGGAAGATTGAAATACACGAGATGCTCTAACACTAGCTAGACAAGAAAAAAGAAAATTAAGGTTCCCATGGCTAATATTTTTCTTTTGTACTAAACCACATGTATCCTCGAACTGAAGTCAGGTAAGAGCTTTCTGAATATTTAACGAAAACTTGAACTTAAAACCACTTGTTAACTCTGCGTCAAGATAGTTCACAAGGCTAATATGTTCATTAGAAAAAAGAAAAAACGAATCACACCCTCATCTAAAATCCACAAGTATGGTTGCAATCAACACTAAATGCAGCAAAGCATGTTATGAAATAGAAGATTACCATTCAGTGGCATGTCTTATGCTTGAACTTGGACGAAAAGTCCTTTTTCCTGAAACGCTAGGCTTCAATTCACCAACAGTCACCACTCCCATGAGTGATATATATAATTCTGCAAATAGCACTAAAGAATTGCACCCTGCTAGTGATGTGACTGTGTTGTCAACGCGAACGTCTAAACTACCAGCATATCAGTTAAACCGAAGGCAAGGAATTAAAACTGTGTGCGTTGTTGTTGCTGTTGTTCTGACAGATTCTGTGTTGAGGACCACTTAATTCTTCCTTCTCTGTCACTAGAAAGTTGAAGTGAAGTGTAAGTCACATGAAGCCATGCAGGCCTAGCTAGCTAAAAGATGGAGATGACATGGAAACATACTTTATAATCTTAAATCAAGGTAAACGCATTGTGCTTGCACTTTTCGGTGAAAGGCATAAGTGGTCTTCGCTTTTCTTTACATGGTTTTTGTCTTAAGAAATTGCAGGAATCCACAGTGCTTTTATGAATTGTCATCATGGTGTGGTAGCTAAAGATATCCACGTAGAGAATAGCATAAAATAAGTAAGTATATTATGTGTAAAGCATGTTAAAGTGGGAATTAAAAGGATGAGTAGGATTGCATGTTATAATGCGATCCATGGTAGTACATTAATAAGCTAAAATGCGTGTATAAATTAAAAAGATTGATACGCATACAACGTAATCTTTTTATTTTTTTATTTTTTGTTAGTCATATAACGTAATCTTACAACATATTCTACAGGAGAGAGGTAAAAACTAAAAATTGAACCTGATAAAATAAATTAAAAAAATATGAAGAATACTAAATTAAAAAAATAATTTAAGATTTATAATCATAAATATGTACTCAAACAAAAAAGTTAAGAATGACTAAGACAAAAAAAATCTAGTTATAGAAAACTTTATGAAATTTAATAATAACTTTTTATTTTCACCAAAGTACCTATAGTCAAAATATTTAAATATAATAAAGTGTTTATTGTTAATTAAAAAATATCAAAATCTTACATTATGATTCATATTAGGTGATTAAGAGAGAGAAAATATGAGTCAACATAATACTTAACTACCGACTATTTAAGAAATTAATAAGAGTTAATAACTGTGTATAATAAAAGAATTAATTTGCATAATAAAATTAAAATTTAGGAACTCAAATGTGATAAAATAAACTATTTCAAGACCTATCAACCACCTTTGTTGAACCAAATTGAATGTTTACTCTTTTAAAAGAATTTTGTTGTTTAAAATGATTCTACCTTATTTTATAATTAATGTTGACCTAACTTTTTTATATATATTTAAAAATTAATAAAAAATGAAAATTTATAATTTTAAAAAATAAACTTTATTATTAATTTTCTTTATTAGAAAAATACAATAAAATAATAATAATTTTATAATTAATATTATTAAGAATATAAATATAAATAATCAATATTATAATATAAAAAAGTAAAATAACACTTATTTTAGGATTAAGTGGATTTATTATACGGAAGAGTAAATAATTTGATAAACATAGAGAAAATGAAAAGAACAATGATACATCTCTGAAAACGACTTTCGAATCACCTTTGAAACATTAAAATATTAACATTTTTTAACAAATTTATTATAAAATAATTATTTAATTTAATATTTTATAATTTATAATGATTTTTGAAACGTCCTTTCAAACGATCTATATTTTTTAAATGAAAATGTATATTTACAATATATAAATATTCATATATCATTAACCAAAAGTCAATTCTAATTAGGGACAACTAGCCAGTAGCTAGCACCCCACGCATTTATTGAAACCCAAGTACAAAATATCTAAATCCAAGGCAAAGGAATAATTATTTTGACATAGGATAGGAACATTGTATAATTGAAGCTTATTCAATTGAAGTTGACAAATTATTCATTTACAAACAATTTCTTACGATATCTTTTACAATTATAAGATGGATATATATATAATGAACACGCATGCATTAAATAAAGAATGGTTTTATTTTTCTTATGAGATTCTTCAACTGATTCTCTTAATTAGGTAATATTTAGATGATAAATTTTAAAATTTTAAAGAATTTAAAATGTATAAAAATTCATTATTTTAATTAAAATATAAATATTTTGTTTGAATAAAACAATTTAAATTTCTTACATTTCAAATTCTTTATTTAGATAAACTGATTTGACTTCCATCATGTGCTATATTTGATTTTGCTTGAAAAAGTTCTGATTAAAATTCTCTTTCAAAAAAAAAAAAAGTGAGCTCAGGGCACTGAAGTAGTATTACTGAATGTGACAACTGTTGTATGAATCATGATCATAGGCTGCGACCATCTGGTGGTCATGATGAGACCATCAATTTCTTCTGTTGAATGCCTAAATACTCCATCTCATACTCAGCACAATCAAATACTATTAAATTTAATAGGTCGCCACCTTCCTTATAACCTTAAATTAACTTTTTATCTTTTCAATATATAATTTTGTTTTTATTTTTAGCTTTTTATAAATTTAATTTCCTAATTTTTTTAAAATTATTTAGTATAAGTTTATTATTAGTATGTCCTTTAAAATTAGAAAATATTAAAGAGTATATAAGTAAAAACAATTCTCACCTTACGAGTTTGTAGAGTTGAATACGGTTAACTCAATATTTTAAGAATTTTTTCTTTAAAAAAAATATAACTTACCTAGTTACTTTAACAAAATCATTTATAACAACTTTATTATTATCAGAATTAGAATTTAAGTGTTGTAGAATTAAGACAAATCTCAAACCATAAAATACTTTTAAAAAAATATTACAAATTATGGACCCATAAAATCATTACATAAATAACGAAATTTGAATTTACATTCTTATAAAATACAACTTTACAATTTACTGGCAGCAGGTAACCCATCTGTTGGGATGCAAATAAAGTCCCATATCGTTCAAACAAGAGGATGGATATGGGTTTATATACACACTTGTCTTCATTAGTTGAGAGACCTTTTGAGTGATGTCCACATTGGTGAGATATTGTCCGTTTTGGCCTCAAAAGGCCTCTCAACCAATGGAGACAATTATATATGTGTTGTAACCCTCAATGCACAACAAGTGATATCAGGTCATGATGGAACAGCGCTACAAGCACTCTGCTCATGAATGAGCTCTGTGGGGCCACCATCAGATATATGTGTGGTAACCTCCCGGTGCACAACACCATCCTTCCAAGAAATATGAACAAGTGATAGGTGGTCCAATTTAACTCTGCAGTTTTCTCTTATCAAGTGCAACTAGCTTTAGAGTCATATGGTAATTAATAGAAGAGACTAAAATGAGCATAATTTGTACTCCTTGTCCCATGTTGCTCCCTTATTATCTTTATCATAGGATTAGGAATCTAACTTTCAGGTGGACCAGGTGTATGAAAGCTTCAGATCCTGAGTTCCCAAAGCACAACTATGATGTAGTGGTAGTTAGGGATCGGGAAAATGAAAACAAAGCATTTAATTTATCTTAGTTTTTTTTCTTCTTTAAATTGTTTGAATGATAAAATATATTTGATCATTTCCCTATATTCGATTTGTAGGATAAGGCAAAGGCAATGCAGATTCTTGTATCGAGCCTGGAGACATAGGAAACCCATATGTAGTACGTCTATTAATTAATTTGTATTGTGTCCATTTCTCTTTGCATTTTTCAATAATAAAACTACTCATGTCAAACTAAACCTTTTTGTATTTCCTTTTTTAAACTTAAAAGTAGCTTTCTTTGTGCTTTTTAGAGTTTGTCAAAACTAATGGCTCTATCGTGAATCTGATACAATTAATTGAAGTTGAGTGTGTCGCAAGTCTTCATATTCAATTTAAAATGTCAATCTTAATCATCTCAATCTTAATGTGTATATTTATTATGAGAATGAGAATGAGAAAAACTAATAGATTAAAGTGATAAATAACTCCTTCTTACAAGTTGTTTAACATTTATGTGTGTGCATGTGTAAGAGAGAATACGAAATATTAAAGAGAAAGAAAATATATTTGTGAGTAAAATAACTTTTTGATAAGAATTAACTTGCATTTTCAATGCTCTTTGGTACAGCTTCTATCTTTGTTCCTCTAATCTCTATTTTCGCTCTTGAAACATACAAAGTTCAAAATCGCTTTCTTCAGCCATAAATTGAATTGCTAATCAAACAAATGAGATAGCCACGGAAGAGAAAGTTTTGTAAGCAAAAAGGGAAAAGGGAAAAAAAAAAAAAAAAAAGAGATTGGGATGAAAGAGGGTTTGATATATCATTAGACATTAGTGCAAGTGGGGAAAGAAGATGACCACATGATGATGTGCAGTAAACATTTGAGCCCACCCTTTTAATTAAGAGTTATGGGGACACAAACACACACTCAATTTCTAAGCAACCTTTTCCCTTCAATTATATACTCCTTTTAAACCTATATATGAGCAAATATAATCAATTTTATACAAATTAAAATTTTTATTAAATACATATAATTCTTTTATAATAGATAACTTAAAATGTATATCATATTTTTAACTATTTTCATAATACATAGTATTTTCATTTATTATTATAAAGACATGTTTTTATTAAATTAAATTAAATTAATTTTAATAAAATTTATTTATATTCTAATTAAAAAACTTAAACATTCTTTTAAGGTCTAAAGAAGTAACTGTTTTTATGACAAAATCAAGACGAGGATAAAAGATATGAGATACGCACAATACTACAAAATAAAAATGGTAAAAACATATTATTTCAATGAAATTTGACATCATTCACATTATATATGTGTATGATAACATCTTAATAAATACCAATTATTATCTCAAATATTTATTTATTACAACCTTTTTAATAAATTTTAGAAAATCTTATTTTACATTACTCTCTTACAGCTTATATGTAAGTAAAAATAATTAATTTTACACAGATTAAGAAACTTTATTAAATATATTTAATTTTTATAATTTCATATAGAATATATACTATATTTTTTAAAATATCCTTGATCACATTCATGATAAATAATATTTTTATTTATTATTATAGGGTTATTTTTGGATTAATAAATTAAATAAGATTGACTAGATTAAAATTTGTTTATATTTCAATTCAAAAATTTTAAATATTTTTTTTTCCTTATATATAGGTATAGAAGGAGTACCTTCTTTTTCTCATATTTATTATCATAATTAGGGTGATGACTCTTCTTTAGATTTAGCTATTCTTCTCATATTAATAATATCTATATATATTGTGTCGTAATTTTAAATGATGAAATAATTTTTTAAAATAAATATAATATTTAAAATTTAAACAATTGTCTAAAGATTTGAAATTGAAAATATAATTTTTTCTCTTAATTGAAAATATAATTTTTTCTCTTAATTGAAAATTACAAACTTTTT